ACATAGCTGCAAGCGACCCTGGGGAAAATCTAGCCAGGGGCCACCTGCCCTGCCACCATGACATTCTTGTGAGAGGAAGAGGAGCACGGATTCTGTGGACAGCCAGCCCACATACACCCATGACAATACGATCATTGCTTATTTATACATCTCCCCCTCAGCACCTGAGCTCTTTGAGGGCAGGCAAGTCTCATTCCATCTTACGGCTTCAGAATCTATCATAGAAAGCAACGTAGATGCTACGGTCCAGGTCAAGTGCTTTGGTTATACACTGAGAGCCGGGCGCCTCCCTCATAAGAATTTTCATCAGTCAGCATGGTGATTCCAGTAGTCCATGGCACCCCTCACCAGACAGTAAGCTCTGTGAGAGCAGAGACCTCACACCTGTGCCTCAAAGCCGAGCACCACTAGGGGGCTCCTCTTTTAGATGATTTAATTAATTCTAGTAGCTCCATCTTTCATCCATTGCTTGGAATGGATTTCAGATGTCAGACCACCAACCTATCCCATACCCTAAGAAGGGGTTTTAGACACCTTCCCTGTATCATCACTATTTCTCAAAATAAGGAAGTTGTTGGAGCCATCAGTACATCTGTGTGACTCTGGGTCATTACCCGTCACAACCCAGAGCTAATTTCGCTCCATTTAAGAACTGAAACAGCAGCAGCCATGGGGAATTAAAGTCACTGTTGAAGCCTCAGTTTATTCTTTCATGCCTATGAGAGTCACGTTTGTATGGACTGGCTACGGCATGCCTGCCCTATCTTGGCAATTGGGGCACAGAAGCCAATAAAACAAGGCCTCTGGCCTTGAGGGCTCCCAGTTCGCTCACGGCCAGCCAGTGGGTCTTCCCACCACCTCAAAATGAAACACAGCAATTTATTCAAAGACGAATATGTTTTCTTCTTTTGAGAGGGAAGAAAAGCTTTTGAAAACATCACGGTAAAATTTAGTGCTATTAAAAAGCAGCTTTCAGCCAGGAGAGGTGGCTCATGCCTGTAATCCCAGTGCTTTGGGATGCCAAGGTGGGAGGATCCTTTGAACCAGGAGTTCAAAACCAGCCTGGGCAATAAAGTGAGATCCTGTCTCTACAAAAAGTTTTAAAATTAGCTGGGTGTAGTCCTAACTACTCCAGATGCTGAGGTTGGAGGATCACTTGAGCCCAGGAGATTAAGGCTGCAGTGAGCTGTGATTGTACCACTGCACTCCAGCCTGGGTGACAGAGCAAGACCCTCTCTCTTTCTTACACACACACACACACACACACAAAAAAGCCAGGCGCCATGGCTCATGCCTGTAATCCCAACACTTTGGGTGGCCAAGGTGGGCAGATCACTTGAGGTCAGGAGTTCAAGACCAGCCTAGCCAACATGTTGAAACTCCATATCTACTAAAAATATAAAGATTAGCTAGGTATGGTGGCACATGCCTGTAATCTCAGCTATTTGAGTGGCTGAGGCAGGACAATTTCTTGAACCCAGGAGGTGGAGGTTGTGGTGTGCCAAGATCGTGCCACTGCGCTCCAGCCTGTGTGACAGAGTGAGACTCTGCCTGTCTCAAAAAAAAAAACAAAAACAAAAACAAAAACAAAACAAAACAAAAAAACAGCTTTCTCCCGCAACCGGACAAAGGAATCCAGTCAAGAGCTAAATTCCCATCAACTCCAACAACCTGTGTTATTTTGAGAACTAGCAATGATACATGGAAGTTGTCTACAACCACTTCCCGGGGTAGGCTGGTGGGTTGACATCTGAAATATGTTTCAAGCATTGGATGGAAGATGCTATGCAAATGCCAGAAGGACAAGGATAAATTGATAGTGTCTTTTCTGATGTGTGGCCTCTCAAAGAGCTTCTAGAGTTAGTAAATCATCTAAAAGAGGAATCTAAAAAGCTGACGGGGCTGTGAATAACACTAAGGGTCAGGAGAACAGCAACTCTGCTGCCCACCACTGTTACGACTGACTCACGTGTCTTCAGCCAGGCTCTTCATCTTGGACACTGCATAAGGCAGGACTGGGCCCTGCTGGTCTAGCTCAGAACTTCTCAAACTCTAACGCAAACCTGAATCACCTGGGTTAAAATGCAGATTCGGCTGGGTGCAATGCCTCACACATGTAATCCCAGCGCTTTGGGAGGCCAAGGCGGGTGGATCCCTTGAGGTCAGGAGTTTGTCATTAGCCTGGCCAACATGGTGAAACCCCGTCTCTACTAAAAATACAAAAATTAGCCGAGCATGTTGGCTCACGCCTGTGATCCCAGCTACTCAGGAGGCTGAGGCAGGAGAATCACTTGAACCTGGGAGACGGAGCTTGCAGTGAACCAAGATGGCGTCACTGCACTCCAGCCTGGGCAACAGAGGGAAACTCTGTCTCAAAAACAACAACAACAACAACAACAACAACAACAAACCTGTAGATTTGACTTCATAGGTTTGGGTAGGACCTGAGATTCTGCATTGCTAATGAGCTCCCGGGGATACTGAAGCTGATGCCTCCCACCAGGCTGTGAGTAGCAGCACCCAGCCTCCCCAGCCTCCCCCAGCCAGTCCTGTTGAGTGAGAGCCTGAGATCCGGGTGACACGACATCTGATGGGACACCAAAGTGTGGGACGCTCCAGCTAGATGCACACTTGAGCAGCATGTCTCAAACACGGCTGCACATTAAAATCACCTGGGAAGGCCGAGTGTGGTGGCTCACTCCTGTAATAATAGAACTTCGGGAGGCCAAGGCAAGGGGATCACTTGAGGTCAGGGGTTCAAGAGCAGCCTGACCAACATGGTGAAACCCCATTTCTACTAAAAATACAAAAATTAAACTAGGCATGATGGCATGCACCTGTAATCCCAGGTACTTGGGAGGCTAAGGCAGGAGAGTCACTTGAACCTGGGAGTCGGAGGTTGCAGTGAGCCGAGATCACACCACTGCACTCCAGCCTGGGCAACAGAGTGAGCCTGTCTCAAAAAATAAAAATAAAAAAAATCACCTGGGAAGCTTCAACATCCACTGATTCCTCAGTCCTCCCCCAGAGATTGTGGCTTAAAAGGCCTGGGGTTTGACTTGAGCATCAAGATCTTTATTTTTTTAATTTTATATTTTTGGGATTTTTTGAGACAGGGTCTCTGTTGCCCAGGCTGGAATGCAGTAGCATGATTATAGCTCACTGCAGCCTCAAACTTCCAGGCTCAGGCAATCCTCCTGCCTCAGCCTCCTCAATAGCTGGGATCACAGGCATGTGCCACCACACCCAGATAATTTTTTAATTTTTTGTAAAGATGGGGTCTGACTGTGTTGCCCAGGCTGGTCTTGAACTCCTGGGCTCAAACAATCCTTCTGCTGCAGCCTCCCAAAGCACTGGGCTTACAGGCATGAGTCACTCCATCCAGCTGGAATCAGGATCCTTGAAAGTCCCCCACAGTGGTTCAGATGTACAGCAAAGTCTGAGAAGCTCTGGTTGCCGATAGAGCAGTGGTTTTATCAGAATCCCCAAGAGAGCTAAGACAGCACTCTAAGGTCATGGAGGTGGGTAGAGCCGGGCCTTAGTCTCATTACATTCCCAGAGGATTCTGATCCCAACCAAATTTGGGGAAACGATGGTAGAGAACGGCTTCCCCACAGTGGGCTGGGGAGTGTGGGTGCAGCCTACAGGTGCTCTGCCTGGATCCAGCACCTCAGCCCTCTGGGTGGGGCCTTGGGTAGCCAGAGTCAGTGGAGCCAGTTGCCTCAGTGGGTCTGTTTTCCCCAGAATGTGGTGGAAAAGTATAAGAAGCACTGTTATATTAAAATACAAAACCAAGGCCGGGTGCGGTGGTTCACGCCTGTAGTCCCAGCACTTTGGGAGGTGGGTGGATCACCACCTGAGGTCAGGAGTTCAAGGTTAGCCTGGCCAACATGGTGAAACCCTGTCTCTACAAAAACAGAAAAAAAACATTTGCCAGGCGTGTTGGCGGGCACCTGTAATCCCACCTACTTGGGAGGCTGAGACAGGAGAATCACTTGAATCTGGGAGGCGGAAGTTGCAGTGAGCTGAGATCACACCACTGCACTCCAGCCTGGGCAACAGAAAAAAAAAATATATATATATATACACACACACACACACACACACACACACACACACACACACACACACAAATCAAACAAATTAAAACAAAAAAAAAACTAAACTAAAACATGAAGCATTCCTGGATCTCTGTCAGAGCTCTTTACAAGGTCACAAGTCCCATTCATAAGAGCTCCGTCCTCATGACTTAACCACCTCTCAGAGGTCCCACCTCCTAATAGCATCACTTTGGGGCTTTGGATTTCAAAATAGGAATCTGGGGGGCGGGGGGACAGAAACATTCAGACCATAGCACAGGCTGAGAAAAATGTACCAAACATAACTTCAAACCATCTCCCCTGAAGTTGAAGCCAAAATGAATTTGGATTCCATTTTAGCCAGGGGAGCAAACAGGTCTGTCAGCTTATTCTTGCCGGGCTTTTAGCTTTGCTCCAAGTTCATTAGGATCCCTCGGAGATGGATGCTGTAGGGCAGAGCACTCGGTAAACCCTTGGGGAATGAACTCATTGATCTGCCCACCTGGGCCTCCCAAAATGCTGAGATTACAGGCATGAGCCGCTGTGCCCGGCCAGGTGTATATTTTTATAAGAAGAAAACACATTTGACAGAGGTTTGGCTGGAGCTGGGGCTGCTCGTGTTGGGGGTGGCAGAGCGACTGGGCATGCAGGTTTGCGGGGGCCAGGGGAGCAGTCTGGTGAGGCCTGGGGTGGCCTGTGGCCCCGAAGTTGTGTTTCCAGTCTGCTCTGGGTCAGATCTGAGGGCTCTCTGTCTGCCTTGAGCTCCCCATCTCCCCAAGGTCTGATATGGAGTCCCCAGGCTTTGGGGGAAGGCTGCTGAGCTTGAGGAGAGGGGAACCATGGGATGGGGTGGATGGGGACGCTGGGAACAATGTCAGGGGGTCCCCACACCTCTAGACACATCTCTGGTTGTGCTTTCAGGTGACCTCAAAGCAGCAGCTCTGAATTCGCCTCTCATCTGACGACTGACCGCTGCTGCCGCCGCCAGCCTCTGTCCCCTTCCCGGGCCTGTCACACGGCTGCCTCTCAGCAGGTAAGGAGAGTGACTTACCTGTGCAGGGGCAGGGGGACAGCAGGTGTCTTCGCCAGGAGCGTGTGTGGGGGCCAGGGTGAGACTCAGTTCTCAGGATCCTTGATGGTGGCCAGGTCCTCACAGCGTCATTTTCTTCTAGCAGTCATCACTGTCCTGTCCCCTTCTCCCACCCTCCATGGCAGACATGGAGCCCTTAGAAACCTTTTACCACCTCCTGTTATCCCCTATGTGAGTGGATGCGCCCCTGTTGGGGGAGCAGAGGAGGAGAACCGAGCCATCGCCGAGGGCTGCTGGGCCTTGGCTGGGGAACTGTGCTGTATGCTTCCCTGTGGGAAAAGAGACGCTATCGCAGTGAGCCTCCTTGTTGAGCAAGGATGAAAGGAGGTCGACCACTCACTCCCTCCCCATCCTCAGTTTAAGCTGCTGGGTCCCTTCAGGCTCAGGGATAGCTGTAGGCTGGCTGCAGTATTCTACTGACAGATACTTATCAACTGCTCATGGACAGAAGTCATAGTTAGGGAGGATGGCTACAGAGGCACAATGCCATCCGTCTTCCAGAAATTCTAAATACTGTGCCCCAAGTCAAGTCAGATCAGAAGCACTGGGGATGGAACCACCTTTCATTGGTCTCCCAGCCCCAACTTTGCATTTACTGAGTTGTGTGCTGCAAGATGCAGCCCATCAGAATATTACAGGGCATGATCGTACGCAGGGGTTCACACCTGTAATCCCAGCATTTTGGGCGGCCAAGACGGGTGGATCACCTGAGGTCAGGAGTTTGAGACCAGCCTGGCCAACATGGTGAAACCCGTCTCTACTAAAAATACAAAAATTAGCCAGGCATGGTGGTACGCACCTGTAATCCCAGCTACTCGGGAGGCTGAGGCAGGAGAATCGCTTGAACCCAGGAGGTGGAGGTTGTAGTGAGCCCAGATCGCACCACTGCACTCGCAGCCTGGGTAAAAGAGCAAGACTCCATCTCAAAAAAAAAGAATGTTACAGAGCAAACCGGGGTCTGCTTGCCCAGTGTGGTAAGACCACCGAGGTTTTGCAGTGGAAGAAAGGAGGGTGTTTAATTGCTGGGCACCAAGCAAGGAGGACTCGGCGGCTCATGCTCAAATCTTGACCAGTGGCTTGCAGGTAAGGGTTTTTTAAGTCGGGGGTACATTTCAGGAAAGCAGAAGTTACAAGTAAGATTGTAAAATCAACACATGGCGGTTACACACTGATTTTGGCTGAAAAGGGTGGGTATCTTGAAGCCAGGGCATAGAGGTCATGGATAGATTTAAAGATCTTCTGATTTGCAATTAGTTAAGGAAAAGAAGCTTTGTTTTAAATGTTGGAGTCAGCAAAAAACAATGTTAGCTCTGGTTTGTGGGCAGGACTCCCTCCAGGCCCCTCAGGAAGAAATTAATTAATTAATTAATTTAGAGATAGCGTCTCATTCTGTCACCCAGGCTGGAGTGCAGTGGCATGATCCCGGCTCACTGCAACCTGTGCCTCCTGGGTTCAAGCAATTCTCCTGCCTCAGCCTCCTGAGTAGCTGGGATTACAGGCGCACGCCATCCCACCCGGCTAATTTTTTTTGCACTTTTAGTAGAGATGGGGTTTCACCATGTTGGCCAGGCTGGCCTCGAACTCCTGATCTCAAGTGATCCACCCACCTCTGCCTCCCAAAGTGCTGGGATTACAAGCGTGAGTCACCGCACCTGGCCCACGAAGAAATTTAGAACCAAGAGCGGCGGTCAGAGTTGAGTCCTCAGTTCCCCCTCATCTGAGGTATCTGTGCCAGCAGATTCATTCAGTAGGGGGCCAGGTTTCTGAAAAACAACTCAGACACATATGTTAAGATGTTATCTTTAGTTTCCATAGGGAAACCAAACATCTCGTAATTCTAGCTTCTTTGGCTATTGTTTTAAGCTACTATTACCTTCTTGCTTATCAAGTCATTTATTTACTTCTCATGGCTAGCTTGGAATTTCCCTTGAAGGAACTCAAGATTTTCCTTTATTTCCCTGGTGAGGGTACCACAGACCCCTACAACGGGTTCCCTGCTGCATCTCAAGAAACCCCTGGTGCAACCTGTGTGCATAAGCACATTCCTGTGTACCTGGAAAGAAAGAGCTGTGTGAGCACGTGGCCCCAGGGGCCAACCCTAAGCAAGTGGTCCCTTTTCCCCCTTGCCTCATCTTCTAGAAAGCAAGAGCCCAGTCAGTGTGGCCGGTAGCCAGTGTGGCCAGCAGTCAGTGTCGCCGGTAGTCAGTGTCTCCGGTAGTCAGTGTGGCCAGTAGCTAGTGTGGCTGGTAGTCAGTGTCGCCGGTAGTCAGTGTCTCTGGTAGTCAGTGTCTCCAGTAGCCAGTGTCACCGGTAGCCAGCATCACCGGTAGACAGTGTGGCCGGTAGTCAGTGTCTCCGGTAGTCAGTGTGGCCAGTAGCTAGTGTGGCCGGTAGTCAGTGTCGCCGGTAGTCAGTGTCGCCGGTAGTCAGCGTCCCCGGTAGTCAGCGTCCCCGGCAGCCTGCGTCGCCGGCAGCCCGCGTCGCCGGTAGTCAGTGTCGCCAGTAGCCAGTGTGCCTGTGGAGATTTGTTGCAGCTCTTCTCTGTCCCTACTTCCATTTTTCTTCTTGGGTCCAGGTGAGATGTGCAAGCTCATGAATGTCTGTGCAGGGAGACGTACCTGAGTCCCCATGGAAGTACGGCGTCCAGACAGTCTCAGAAAGGCAGGGGTGTTATTCAGGTCAAGCCTCAAGGGCACCTGGCCAGGTAGGAGAAGCAGGGCCTCCGAAACCTTCTCACAGGGCTCTATCTTTAAAGCATGTGGTTGTCTTGAGCGCCATTGGCAAAAGCCATTTCCTTCTCCCCCACCAGGGATTTCCTCAGTTTTTTGCCCACCTCAGGGAAGGGGCTCCTTCCTGCCATCTCACTCCCATATTAAGCAAGGTTAGGATCACCCAGGGGATGAGTCTGTTCCAGGACAGCAGGACAGACCAAGTGTGGGGAATGAAATCCTAAGCGCCACTAGGCCAAGGTGTAATGAGCCGGGAGCAGTGGCGGAACAGTGCTTCCTTCCTCTCCTGCTGAGGAGCTCTGGGAAACTATGTTATCTAACCTCCTTGAATATGTTTCCTCATCTGAAAAATAAGAGGACTGGAAATGGACCTCCATGTTCCCCTGCAATACCAACAGTCAGTGATTCGGAGCCTTGCTACTCAAAGTGTGGTCCGTGGACCACAGCCTCACGAAGCTCGTTAGAAACGCAGGATCTCAGCCCCTACCCCAGAGCCCCTTGATCAAAATCTGCATTTGAAAATCCTCAGGCGATACATATGCACATTAAAATTCAAAAAGGACTGGTTGAGATAGCCCCTAAGGTACATGAGACACCCTGCGTGTCTCGTGCAAGGTAATTTGGTGGATACCAAAGAATCACGAAGTGGAAGCGGCTCACGGCCAGCAGGGGTGCTCCACCTTCGGTACAGGCCAGAATCAGCCTGGGAGATTGTAAAATACGGACATCCAGGCGTGCAGGGCCACAGTGCTGGGAGAAGCCAGAGCAGCCCCTTGGGAAGAGAAAACACAAACACCCACACACGAAATCACTTAAGGATCACTGAGGGCAACAAGAGTGACTGTCCTAGAAACAGTATCAGGGTGAGCTGAGGGCGGCAGAGCAGACTGTGGAGCAGGCCTATTTATTCAGTGCTCTCAAAAGAGGGCTTTTCATCCTTACATTAGAATCTCTTCCTTTAGTTACTGAGGGGCCTCTCATGGGAATCTGTTGTTACCTCTCCACCTTCTTCTTCTTTTTTTTTTTTTTTTTTTTTTTTGAGACAGAGTCTTACTCTGTCACCCAGGCTGGAGTGCAGTGCTGCAATCTCGGATCACTGCAACCTCTGCCTTCTAGGTTCAAGCAATTCTCCTGTCTCAACCTCCCAAGTAGCTGGGACTACAGGCACCCACCACCATGCCTGACTAATTTTTGTATTTTTAGTAGACAGGGGGTTTCACCATATTGGTCAGGCTGGTCTCAAACTCCTAACCTCAAGTGATCCACCCCGCCTCTGCCTCCCAAAGTGCTGGAATTACAGGCGTGAGCCACTGTGCCCGGCCTCTCCACCTTCTTAGGCAAGAATGCAGAAGATCGCAGGGAGGTAAGACTGTTGATGTTGTTGCTTGTTTTAAGATGGTCAGGTGCAAACTGCATAAATATATTTGCATATTCCGAGGAGGAAGAGCCCAGAGACGTGGACATTACAGGACGGAGGGGTGAGTGTAGGGCAGATCCCTCAGGGAGGGGTTGGTCTACCCCCCTGTGAAGTGTTAGCCTTGGCTGAGAAGATGCAAATGACAGATGACCCAACAAATATGGCCTGAACCATGAGGAGTACGTTTTTTCATTTCAAGGATCAGGAATAGACCTCCGAGGACCACCCAGCTCAAGGATCCAGGTCATTTTCTCCACTAGCCTCCTGACCCTGTCCTTGGTTGATTCCCCAGTGGTTATATGGCTCTGGCAGCTGCAAACACAACTCAGTCAAGGCGGTCAAACACAGAGCTTTCTCCCCTTGTCCCTCCATCAGGGAGGAAAACCCTCCTTATGAGTCCCTGCAGATTTCCCCTAGTGTCCCACTGAGGAGGACAAGGTCACATTGTCAGGCTCACGACTATACCAAATGCCCTGCTTGGGGTCAGGTTCCAGCCCATGCTGAGGTTCGAGGAGAGTGGGCAGATGGGCAGACAGCTGAAAGAACACTCGTGGGGCCATAAGCAGGCGAAATGTAGTTTTATCCAGCAGGTCTCTCATCAGCAGCTGACTCACACTAGCTCTCTCACACTGTCCCCCTTGACTCGGCTGTCTGTTCTGGCTCTGTGGCTCCTCTCAGCAGCCAGCTCCCACACACAGCTGCATGGCCGGCTCTCCCCTGCCTTCAGGGTCAGCAGCTTAACTCTTTCTCTCTCTGGGCACGAGCTGAGCTGTGCTATGCCCTGGCTCCCCCCGTCT